GACTTCTTTTAATGAGGCAAAATGAGAAAAGAACATCACAAATAAATATTGGCTGTCAAAGGTTTCTGTTCAGGACAAGAGGGAACGGCCTCAGGTTGGGCCAGGGGAGGCTCAGGGGGGACAGCAGCAGGAATTTCCCCATGGAAAGGGTGGGCAGGGATTGGAAGTGCCCAGGGAGGTTTGGGGTGCCCATCCCTGGAGGTGTCCCAGGAATTCCTGGAGGTGGCACTGAGGCCTCTGATGGGGACTGGGCACAGCTTGGACTCGATGAGAGCTTTTCCAGCCTCAGGAATTCTGGGATTCTGTGCCCTGCAGTGGATGGAGAGGAGCTCCAGCTCCTGTCAGAACCTCACAGGCACCACATCCCCCCCATCTCCGAATCCAAACCTCAGCCATGCCAAAGGGAGCAGATTTTCCCTGGATTCCACTGGGCTTTGGCCAGGCTCTAATCTGAGAGGATGATAAGGATGTGGGACACAAGGTCAGGATCCCACCTGCTCTTCCTGACTTCCTGCAGAGTCTGGGGAAATTAATCCTTAATTAGCCCTCAGAAGAGCTGTTGGTCACTGCTGGTCTCCTCATTAGGGTTTGGATTAATTCTGGATAATCCAGCCTTGGATGCATCCAAGGCTGGACTGGACAGGGCTTGGAGCACCCTGGGATAGTGGGAGGTGTCCCTGCCCGTGGTAGGGGTTGGAACAAGGTGACTTTTAAGGTCCCTTCCAACCCAACCCAACCCATCCCAGAATTCCATGACCCTGTGGAACAGGACATTCAGAGCGCAGAGTGAGGAACAATTCCCAGTTTGAAGCCACTTTCCAGGAGCACCCACAAAAAAGGGAGGGCTGAGTTATCCACCCTGGGCACCGATTTTAACCACAAACTCCCCCCTGGGATGTGCAAATTCCATGCCCTTGGTGGTTCCCTCTCCGGAGCCCCTCTGGAAGAGCAGGAATGCCACACGTTCCACAACCACATCCAAGCCTGAAAGGGTTCCTGCCTTGCTCCCAGGGAAAGGAGAGGCCAATCCCTGCCTGCATCCACCAGCTGTTAACCCTTCCCACCCCAGAGGAGCATTTTGCCCAAGGGAAGCAGGACACGGGACTGGCCGTTCCCAAGGCCACCTCCGGCCAGCAGATCCCGGAGCCTTTCCCAGCCCCGTGTGTGTCACCAGGCAGATCCACAGGCAGAGAACAAACCAAGCCCAAGCCACTGACCCCCAGGGTGGCTTGTCCCCTCCCAGGACGATGGCACCGCACCCTCCCTGCACTCCTCCTGCTTTCCTGGGGGACATTCCCGTCCTCCTTGGCCGCCCACGCTCTCCAAGGGATCCAAGGACCACGCAGGGCTGTGCAGCCCTCCCTGGGGAGCTCCCAGCATCTCTGGTGTCCAGCAGGTCTGGAGAGCTCCAGGGATCACGGAATTCATGGATGGGATCACCCACTGGCCACGTTGGTGGCTCACTTGTTTGTTTTTGGTTTTTTGTTTTTTTTTTTTTTAACCTCCCAAATAACTTAATCTCTCATTCCACAGAACAGAGAAACCGCATGGAAACCCTTGGAATCCGCTGCGTGGCCTGATGGTCTTTTCCCACTAAATGCTCTCCAGGGACCTTTTTCATCCTTTGGGTGAATTATTATTTTTTTTTTTTTCCTTTCTTTCCCTCCTCCTGTCTTTACATCACTGTCTCTCTCTCCTCTTCCACCAGGACCGTGGGTCTGTCTCCATCGTAGAGCCCGGAGCCGTTCAGGTATTCCTCATCCTTGTTGTACTGCTCAGGGCCGGAGGAAGGCATGGAATTCTCTGAAATGGAGCCGTTTTTCACATAGCCTGGCAAATTCCTGTGGCCATTGAGGGTCCCTGGGATCAGTCTGGTGTTGAGGTGCAGGGCAAGGGCCCCTCTCGTGGCTACATTGGTGATGCTGGTGTGGGACACCATTGGTCCATAACTGTACGTTGTGCTCCCACTCCGAGCTTTCCTTTTAAAGTCAAGTGCTAAAGTCCACCTGCTCCATGACTTCTTTATTTCTGCTTGGACCTGAGAGGGGGGGAAAAAAAAGAAGAGAGGGGAAAAAAAAAATCCCCATGAGTGGGAGAAGGAAAATGCCAGAAAAATGTGGTGTCCATAGAATGGGCGGGAAACTCGGCGGGGATTTGGAATTTCCTGGTCTTTATTTTTATGGGCCAACTCGTGATTCCATGAAATTGGAAAGAGCAATAAATTCACATTAAACCTGCCCTTTCCCAGTGAAATATTGGACACTGGGAAGCTTGAATGGCTGGAAAGGTGGGATGGCTCTGCCCAAGGTTTAAGGGATGGAGAGCAGCACATCCAAGAGGGAATTGTCTCAACATCCCATGGAAATCAAGTGTGAGTGGGAAAACCACCTTGAGGGGCACCTGAATCCTGAGAGATTTCCCTAGAACGAATTTCCCTGAGAATTTCCCTAGAATTTTCCTAGAAATGGGAATTTTAGGCTGGGTCTAAAGTAGGTTGTTAAAGTTAGGCTGAGATCAATCCCCCTTAGATTTTATCCTCGTTTTATCTGCAGAACATACACAGTGAATTTGTAGTTTTATTTCCCCTTAAAATCCATAACTTTAGGTCATAAATTCCCCTTAAAATCCATGAATTTCATTTTAAGCCAGTGTGTGGAACTTCTTCCCTGGGGTCAGTAGCTGCTGACCATCCATTTTCTTAATTAACAGCAATAGAAGGAATTAATGGAAATGAGGAAATTAAAGTATATTTTTCTGCAAATAGATAAAAAAGTCCAAAGAGCCTGGAAAAATCCAGATTTTGTTAATCAGTGGCTCTATCAATCCGTTTTTCTTCTTAGTTTGAAATGAAGCAGCACTGAGCAGCACTTGTGCTAGGGAATTAAAAATTGTAAAATTTTTTCTCCATTAGCTGCTTCCAGTAGCTCATTTATCGGTGCCATATTGACCTGGGGGTTTTCCACCAGAACAAAAATGAGGATTTGAATTTTTTATGTGGACTGAGAGACCTTGGACTGCAAAATAAGGTTGTTTGTTGTAGAAAAATGAGGATGTGCTGTCCCACCTGAGTGTGGAATTAACCCAAGAAAGGAGGGAATGAAGACTCACCTCTCCATTGCAAAAACAGTATATGATGGCAACAAAAAATCCCTGGAAGGAGCAAGAAACAACAAATTAATGGGAATGTAGGGAAATTTGAGTCTCTTTTCTGCCCAGCAACCCCAGGCTTCTCTGAGACTGAGGACATTCAAAACCAGCTGTGGCAAATGTGTGTGAGAAATGTGGGATTGCTCAGTGGGGCGGGAGAGGGGAAACAGAGAAAATTCCCTGTGGATGGAGCTCAGAGTGGACAAGGAGCTGTCCCTGAGCCAGCAGAGATGGGGATGCATTGGGAAGAACATTTTTTGCTGGATACATTGCCCCTTTTCTTGTGTTTTGCAAGTAGAAAACAGATTTGGGGCTGAAATATTTTCAAATCCCCTCGTGAATGAATTCTAGTGCACTGTAAACCCAGCCCTGCTTCCATAGCCAGCCTTGCACCCACATTCCCCTCCTCTCCCCACTGAAATTCCCAGGGTTTTCCCAGAGTTCCAGTACCTGGAAAGAGTTGAACAGCATTTCATAGTGCATTTGAACTTGCCAAAGAATCCCTGACACGTCTGTGTATGGCATAGCCATGAAAACAATATAGTGAACGCCAAACAGAGGCATAAGGACGAGGGTAGATTTCAGCAGCTTCCTGCAGGGAAAAAAAAAAAAAAAAAACGGGATACAGCAGGAATTAGTGCCTGGATAAAGCTCCAACCCAGCCAGGTTTGTCACCAGGCACGGGCTGCTCGTGGTTTTCAATTTGTCCCCTTGGATATTGGATGTTTGTACAGGTGGAATTCCACCTGGAATTCTTGAGCTGCTGTTTCACTCCCCAGCGTGTGCCAGTGCCAGCCCTTTGTGTGATGCTGGAGGTGACACTGAGGTGCCTTTTCCAGCCTCAGACCCGCTCCAGGTTTGGGTCGGGATGGTGGGTGGAAGGTGGAAAGGAATGGAAGGAATTTGTGCTGCAATTCCAGCCCCCAGGCTCCAGCAGCCACCAAATCCCCTCATCCCTAAAGGATGGCTCTCCATCTTCACGTGGTCCTACAGTGGCTGACACTGCTGGAGCAGGAGGCTGGAGAATCGACTTCCAGAAATCTTTTCCAACCTCAACCACTCCATTGAGGCAAGACAGGAAAATCCAGCCTGGATCCTGTGCAACGAGCAGATCTGGAGGAGAGGGAAGCGAATTAGGAGTGGAATTACTCCAGATACCCAGGGGAACAGGACAGAGCAGAGGTGAACGCTCCCAGGAGGTGCTTTGGGCTTCAGCATCCCTTGGAAAAGTTTTTTTTTTTTTTTTTTTTCAGGAAGCAGCTCCACCTCAGCACAGGATCAGTGCTGGGGACTCCACAACCCGGAGTATTTGGCCGGGCTGGCTCCGGAGGGAATCAGCTTTGCCTGGAAGTGACATTAATTGAGGGATTAAAGCTCGTGCCAGGAGTTCCAGCAAGTCCCCGAGTGCAGCAGGGATCGGGAAGGGCGGGAATCGCTCCCAGAAAGCCCCGGCACCGCCTCTGTCCAGCGCCTGCAAACCACCGAGGGAATTTAACACTTTAAAAGGAGCAGGCCCCATCCAAACCATAATTAATGGCAGAGCTTCAGCCAGGGAGAAGTAAATAAATGGATAAATCAGAGCCCTGACAGGGCAGCGAGGAAAAGTGGGAGGTGTTTTCCTGCCAAAGCTCCCCCTCCTGCCTCAAATGTGTGTTTGGAGAGGGAGGTGGGAGCAATGAGCTCATGGTTTACATCCCAAATCATTCCTCTCTCCCCCCTTCCCAAGTGTCCTGTTGGGCGGTCCAGGAGATCCCAAGGAGCCTTGGGAGCTCTCAAGCAGCCGTGGTGTCCCAGCAATCCGATTTTTCCATCCAGTTTTTGACCATGCTACAAATAACCTGAATTGTCAAGGGAGATGAGCTGGCAGAATAAAGGAAAACCAAACAAAAAATGAAACGAAACTGGAATATTTTTATCAGTTCAGCCAAAGCACTGAAACACCCGCTCAAGGGCAGGTTTAACAAATAGGCCAAGCTTAACAAAACACAGGGGGGAAATAAAAAGAAGCAAATAAACTGATACAAGTTTTATGGCCTTCAGCAGGACAAACAATGTTTTATTTTTGCACTTTTAGCTCAAAAACTGGCTGAAGAGCTGGAATTCCTCCCTAACCTCCAGCAGCTTGGGTTTGAAAGGTTTGGGAGAGTTTTAAAATCGCTCTGGTTCATTCTGCATGACCACACTTGGGAGACAAGAAATTTTCCGAGTTGTTTTAGGTGCCACCACAGCCGAGGGGGTGAGCCAAGGACTTTGTCCATCCCAGAGAGGGGACAGGGCAGGTGACACTCACCTGTACTGTTGTCTCGAGTCACACCTCCCTGCATTCGTCTCTCGGAGCTTGGTTGCGAGGACTCTGATAATATTGATAAAGAGAATAAAATTTACCTGCAGGGGAAAGAAAACAAAGAAACGAGGACTGTTAAAAATGGATGAAAATGGAGTTTTTCCAGTTGGTGTTGGCCCTCCAGGTGAGGCAGGGGGTGGGACTGGGGAGGAAACTCCTCCTGTGGAAGGGATGAACATTCCAGGAATGATCCCAGGGTTTTTAACCTTCAGGGAGAACATGGAATGGCTCAGAGGTGTGGACATCTCACATGGAAACACCCGAGCCAGCAGCACAGCAGGCACCTGGAGAAGGCCAAAGTGAGGTTTTATCTTTCACAGCCCAGCTGGGATTAAGATCCCAGGAGCACTCCTAGGATGTCTTCCCACATTTCCATGTGCCAAAGGAAAGAGGAACAAGCCAAATGCTGCTCTGAAGACACAGAGTGGACCTAGCTGGGGATGACAGCTCAAGAAGGCAGAAGGGCAATGAAAACTTGGATTTCTCCCACATTTCCACTGCTGAGCTTCCTCTGGGAAGTGTTTAGGATGGAGCAGACAAGGACAGTGAGGGAACATCACCCACTGCCTTTCAGGGAGACACATCTGTGGACACAGCTGGGGGCCAACTGCTCGGGATAATTCCAGTGGTGCCTTGGAACAGGCTGCACCAGGAAGAAGTGGAATCCCCATCCTGGGAAGTGATGGAATCCC